TGAGCGGGCTCGGCAGGAAGCGGGTCGCCAGGGTTTTGGTGAGGTGCTTCTGCAAAGCCAGCTTGGACTGCAGGGAGGGAGGAGGAGACTCCATGAGATCGTGGAACAGGTGGAGGAATCACAAGTGCTGCCATTGTGAATGCTGCTGCCAAAGCACTCCCAAGTTATCCCTATTCTGGCCTTCCCAGGAATAAAGACTTGAATCCACCCCCCCCACCACAGCCCACCTTCTGTGAAGGGAGCAGCTGAGGTGTGGTGATGTGAACTGAGATTTAAGAGAAGCAGCTCCTGTGACTCACTGCAGGGATGGCTGATGGCGAGCGAGGGTGCTTTGCAGGGAGACAGGTACCTTGAGAATACTCACTGCGAGGGCAGCGTTCTTCTGCAGCTTGTTGTAGGGGCTGTACTTAGGCTTGGGCGGCTTCCCCGCCAGCCTGTCTTTGTGTCGCCGGCTGCTCATGTGCTGGGGAGGAAAACAATTGGATCACTGGGAGCCAGGACAGTGAGGGGAGACCCACGGCACTGTGCAGTTTGGGTCTGCGGGAGATGCTCCTCACCCTTCAGGGACCATCAGGTACCTGCCCCAAGCCCCTGCCCACCCAGACCCTGTCCCCCTGCACTCCCAGGGCATCATCACCTGCTTGAGCTGAGTCTCCGAGTTCACGTAGATCTCACACACTTGGCAGTGAAACGCCTTGTTCTGGATGTTGATGCTGCCCTTGTTCCCGATCCGCTTGGACTTGTGCCCTGCCCGGGAGAGCAGCTTGCCCCGGCCTCGCCGCAGCTGGGTGCCGTGACCTTCCAGCATCGACTTGTGCTTGGCGCCTGGTGAGAGGGGACACTCAGCAAACCCAGCCCAGCCCTGTGCCGTGGCAGCAGGGACGGTGCCCTCCAACAGCACCAGGAAACCCACACCAGCCTGTGCCTGGCAGCACTTGCAGGCAGAGGGGGACAGGGAGCTGCCTGGGAGCCCGGACTCTTGCCGGCACTGTGCAGCCCATTCCCAAACCCTGCCAAGCCTCATGTCACAGGCAGACCAGAGATGCTCAGCTTCCCAGAGACCCCCCCCCACATGTGCCAGACCTTCACAGAAGCTGCTATTTTGAGTGTGTGCTGGAGCCTGTCGCCTGTCCCCGGGCGTTAGCACAGTCTGCGGGGCCGGGCACTCGTCGCCCGCCGTGCTGCAGCATCTGAGCCGTGCCCAAGGTCAGAGCAGAGCCGTGCGGAGCCAGGAATAGCTCAGCTGGGTCACAGCAGGCGGGGAAGGAGGAACCCGAAATCCCTGCACACCTGGGGACAGGGCTCTCCGTCCTACCCCTGCCAGCGCCAGGACGGCGGGGGCGCGTGGGGGGCAAGTAATTTAAGCCCCTGCTAATTCATTCTATTTTTTAAGGCGTGAAGCAAGGAGCCGTGTGACGGCCGCAGAGCAGCGCCAGCCTGCAAACGTTTGTTTGTTTGTTCTTTTTCCCCAAATCAGCTCCTAAATTCGTAACTGGAGCTGACAAAAGCAAAAGGACATGTCTGCAGCTAAGCCGCAGCGGTGTCCTGAGCCAACCCTGCACACGGCGGCTGCTGCCACCCCAGTGGGCAGCTGGGATGGGAGAACTGGTTCCCAGTTCTTTCTGAACTGGGGGAGAGAAGGACCTTCCATTTATAACTGAGATGCTCATTCCGTTTTAGCATCCTCCAGAGAAAGGGACGAGTCAGGATCTGACACTGCAGGGCCCACAGATCCTGCTGGGTGCCCCTGTACTGTGGCTGCCACACCTACCACCATCCCAGGGGTGGGTGTCTGGCCACCCTCAGGTTTCAGGGGGACCCTCAGCACCCCCCACCTGTGACCTCCCTGAGGGGCTGCCCTGTACAGCCCAGGAGCCTTCACTGGCTGTGGGGCTCCAAAGCTTGTTGGATTCCCAAGGCACTCCTCTACAGAATGATGAGCCCAGACCACCAAGCTGCTTTGGGAAGGATTATCCTGGGTCTGCAAGAGGCCCTGGCTATCAGCTTCAAGTCAAATGAAATACAAAGTTGCCTCAATCACTTGATTAAATGTAGCTGGAAATGTCCTTAATGGAGACACGAACAATAAGAGCATTCGACCTTGAGAAAATTCACCACAGAAGCTGCAGCCCAGGTAAAGCCCCACAGCTTATCTGTGAAGGCCACCTTAACGAACCCTTTTTAATTACAGCAACACTCATTAAAGCTCGCTGCTTCCCCATGAGGCATTTGGTGATGGGGCATGATTTTGCTTGAAACCCCAACAATGGAGCAGCCCATCCCCCTGTCCCTGCAGTGATGCCCTTACCGGTGTTGTGAGCCTCCAGCTGGGACAGGGAGTTGACAGTCACTTTGCAGGTGGGACAGTACAGGTGCTGTTTGCTCTTCTTCCCCTCCTTCTCGCTCTCAGGGGCTGAGCTGACGCTGCCACCCGACTCAGCAGCCTGTGCCTCGGCTGCCTGGGCGGATGAGGAGGCCACGCTGGTGGCATCAGAGGTGCCCTCTGAGAGCTCAGAGGCCGGTGGGGAGCCCAGCGGGGCGATGCTGCCTGGCAGATCCGTGGGTGATTCCTCGGTGCTAGGCGCCAGCCCCAGGCTGCTGCCCTCACCCTCTGGCTCCTGTGGGCTGCTGGCATCAGCTGCAGGGTAGGGAAGGAAAGGGGGAAACGGGAAAGAGAAAGAAATGGGCAGAAAGTTCTCTGTGCCTGAACAGGTTTTCTGGATTTCAGGGAGCACCTGCCATTCTCCCCGAGACCATCTCGGGCACTGTCTGCATGTGTCCATGCTCCCACCAGGGCTGTCCCTGCATGTGGCAGAGCCCTGGGATGTGTGAGGCAGAGATCACTTCCTCTCCCACATCCATACAAAACACCTCCCGGAGACACCAAACCACAGGGAAAACACTGGCCATCCCCCCACAGCCGCAGGGATGCCCAGGGCCAGGCTCCCCCCAGGACACTGCTCAGGTTCCCGTGCTCAGCCTGTCACACGGGCAGAGCACAGAAGCTCATTTATGAACGCTGGCAGTGGCATCTCTGCCGTGCTGATTGCAGCCTCCCCAGCCCCGTCCCCCCCTTCCTGTACCTGTACCTGTGCTGCCGGGCTCCCCACTGCCCTCGGGGATGGGGGACAGGTCGGCTGCACTGTCCTGGCTGGGGGTCCCCGCTGCAGCCCCCGCCACCTTCTGCTTGTTCTTCATGGCCTCGATGGCCTTCAGCCTCCGCGCGTGCTTGTGCCCCTTGTAGTGGGCTTCTGCCTGGTTCTAGGGGCAAAAGACAGGGATGACCATGTTGGTGCAGCCGCCAGACAGAAGGATGGGCACAGAGAGGGCACGTTACGAGGCCAGCCCTGGGATGTGGCTGCTCAGGCACATTTCCAGTACAGCCACATCCTCTGGTGACATCCACCCCCAGGGCCACGACGACCACAGAGGGGCTGTTGGGAGCAGGGGGGTGTAATACAGAGGGGGTGTTGGCAATGGGGTGTAACACAGAGGAGGTGTTGGCAATGGGGTGTAACACAGAGCCACATCCCTCCTCTCCCCAGCCTGCTCTGACAGCGACATATTGGGGCCGAGGTGTCACTCTCTAAGACATCACCATGTTGCACGGCTGAGATAAGGACCCTGCTCTGATTAAATGCATCAAGACGCTCCTAAAAGCAGCTTTCAGGCAAAATTTATGACTCCAGAAATGTAGAATGAATTGTTGCTGTAAAAATGAAATAAAGAGGTTCATCAGTGGGGACGACATGTCTCCCACTGTATCCTAAGGGTTGTCCAACACACGGTTCACGTCCCCCGGCTCCTCTCTCCCAGCAAACACTGGATAGATAATGAAGTGCGACTCTGACGGGTTCATGTCTGCACTGAACTGATAAAAACAGCCACAAAAGAAAATCCTCCAAGCACTGGTGTCCTCCCAGTGGGGACAATGCCGTATTGTCCCCCAAAACAACTCCAGCTCGGCAATTTATGGAAAGGAACCCCAGTATGAATTAGACACTGTACCCCTGAGCAGCACAGATTAATTTGCACAATGATCCGGGGGGCCAGCTGAGGCTTCCAGGGCTTGGCAGGGGGAAGCATCCCATCCCTCCCCTTCCCTCCCCCCGTGGCTTTCCAAGGGCTGGGAACAGTGGTCAGGGCCGACGGCCAGTACGTGGGAAAGCAAAGGGCCCGTCGGAGCGTGGTGCCTCATTAGCAAAGACAATAAACTCCCCCTGGATATCAGGGCTGGAACGGGACTGGGTGCAGCTGAAGTAGGTCACCGCCGCCGCGCCGGAACACCCGCGGGCTGTGAGGGTCTGTGCCAGCAACGCTCCCGCAGGGGAACCTGGGGGGACACGGGCAGGGACAGGCAGAGCGGGGACAGGGACATGGGGTGCTCACGGGAGCACTGGGAGCATGTGGTGGGACCAACTCTCCTGGCACAGCACTACCAGCTGGGATGAAGCCCGGAACAGGGAAGCAATGCTTTTCCCCAAGCCCCCTGGCTGCGGAGAGGAATCATGAAGCCCAGAACTGCTGAGTTTCAGTAGCAGAGCAGCACCAGCCTCGGGTGCTGCAGATGCAGCATGGCCAGGCTGGGACAGCTCCTCCACGGGTGGCAGAGACTGGCCAGGGCGCAGGGCTCGGGGAGGCAAGAGCAGCTCCCACAGCCCCCACAGCCTCCATGCTGCCTGACACCAAGCACTGGTAGCTTTGGTGGATGAGTAGTATGGCCCATCATCTTGGGATGCCTCTGCTCCAGTGCTGGCCCCATGTGCCCCACTCACCCCAGCCCCACCTCTGGCCCCGCTTACCGCAGAGTTGAAGCGTAGGTGGCAGATGTTGCAGGATATGAACTGCTTCTTCTTGAGTGGGGCCGGCACGCCAAAGGTGTGGCTGATCACTGCCTTCTGCACCGGGTCCATCTGGAAGGGGAGGGAGGGCAGAGGGTGGCTTGGTGCCACATCCTGATGGCCGCCCTGGCGTGGCACCACGACCCGGTGACCCCCACGCCTGCCACGCTCCCAAGGAGCCGCTGCCAACACCACAGAGCTCACACTGGGAGCGAGGGGCTGTGGCTGCTGAGGCAGTGCATCAACACCGGCTCCTGTCCTGCTTAAACCATCCTTACATCCACCAATCTCGCAGGGTCTGAACATCAGCTGTGGTCTGGCAGAGGTGATGAGACCCTGTCTGTCCCAGTGTGTCCCCACTGTCTGTCCCTGTCCCTCCCCACCTCAGACACTGGTGTCACAGATGGCAAATTACTGTTTGACACCAGAGCCCACAGCCATGGACACAGCTTGCCCGAGGCACAGTGCCCGTGAAAGCCCCTCTGGGCTGCCCCACTGCTCTGGGGCACTGCACCTGCTCAGAACCAATGATGACAACTCACTCACTGGGCTGGGTACACACAGACCTGCTTCAGCGACCTGCCAGGAGCACTGTCCATCGTCCAGCCTGCCTGGGGCCACAGTGGGGCTGAGCATGTGGCCACTGCCAGCCCCTGGCCCTTCTGTCTCACCCCAGGGCTCAGCCTCATTCTGCAGCCCAGGCACCAAAGTGGTTCCAAAAGCCATAATTGTTTTAAACAAAATGCATTTATTAAGGGAGAAAACATAAGAATAACCTCTTTGTCTGAGCGTGGCTCTAATCTATAATGCAACTATTGTTCCCTACCCTGTGGCACAGGGAGATTATCTTATCTGAGTCCTGCTGTCAGGAGAGCCCGGGGTTTTCAGCGATCGTATTTCTCTGCAAAGCTATTTCGCTGCCGAGACAGGTGCATCAGTCTTCGAGGCACATGCCTGGACAACAGCGCCATTATCAAGACCCCAAATTCCTTTCCAGGAGTGAGCAGAATGGTAAAAGCAGGTGATTAATGAAGTGCCTGTTTGCTATGAAATTTTACTCACTTATCTGGCATATAAATGAAGAGGCATTTGGGGTTCGGCAGAGACCCGGAGGAAGCTACAGATGGCCAAGATGCTGCTCCATGCCTGACGACAAACATTGCAACGTGCTGCTGGCAGCAGCCCCACGCTGACAGGCTGTGGGGCTGGCGCTTGCTTTCCAGAGAAACACCCACCTCTTCTTTCAGAAAAAGAAAAATGGCTCCAACCTTCCCAGCAATGTCAGCTACCAGGTTCCAACTGGTTGCTCCCACCGAGCACCACCAGCTCCCACCAATCACCACTGGCTCCCACGGAGCACCACTGGCTCCCATGGGCTCATCCACACCCCAAGCACCGCAGCAGGAGCAGGGCAGGGATCAAAGGAGGATGCAGAGGAAAGATGCTGGCATGAGAACACAAATGCAGCCAGAGACTGTCCTGGACTCAACCACACCCTCACAGCTACCTCGGATACAGAAAAACCCCCACAGCTCCCATGGGGCCAGTGGGGGCCGTGCCACTGCCATACGTACCAGCACCCACAGCCGGAGGCTGAGGAGCTTCCCAGTGGTTTCCAGCAGAACGGAGCCAGCAACAGAGGTTGGCTTTGGGCACCACACTCTTGGGGAATAAAGATCCCAGCTTTATAGTCAGTTTGTATTGACTCACATTACTTTATTTATCCCTGGATGTTCCTGTCGATATAAATAGCGATCCCTGTGTTGAGCTCCCTGTGGCCCCTGAGGTCAGGATTGGGAATTCACAGGGATGCAGCATCCGTTCAGATCGTGTCTCCTGACGGACTTTTACGAGGCGCTGCTAGGTCCTGGGGATTTGCAACATCCCAAGAGCAGGGAAGGGCCTTTGGAGCACGGAACGTGCCTCCTGTGCTGTGTTAGGGTTTTTTATTCCTGGTTGTTGCTCTGAGTGGCAGCAGGCAGCTTGGAAGGGTTTTGCTCGCTTCAGAGTAAAACATCTGCTGGGTTCATGGGAGCCCCGTGACCTGCTCCAAGTGCAAAGCGTTCCAGATCATCAGCCCTGGCACTGCTCGGCCAACAGCACACGCCAGGCTCAGGTCTGAGCTCGGAGCGCTTCACTCCAGGTGCCTGAACAGCCATGACAGCCTCCCCTGGCATCTCCATCCATGTCTGACCCATCCTCCACGGCAGGAGCCCCCACGGAGCACAGCAGCCGTGTGACACTGTGTGGCTCCAGCAAGTACCAGATTCATATTCCAAACTACTGATTCTTTTAAAGCACCAAACCGGGGCGAACACGCGCTGAGGCAGCGGCAGGCGGGAGCCGAGGGGAGTGAACAACAGGCGCTGGGTCAAGTTCACTCCTGATTCCAGCAACTAAAAAAAGAGCCCAGACAAAGAGCAGGAACCGTAGTGGCATCAAAACCCCTCCTGTCCTGTGTTTGTGTTCCTGCTCATTAGCCAGGGAGAGGCTGGGCTGGGGCTTCAAAAGAGCTTAAGGGACTCAGACGCCTGAATCCCATTCAACAGCAACAGGAATCCTGTGCTTAATTCCTGCGCCGCCTTTGAAGATCTCAGCGATAATTTGCACCTTCCGAGCAGGTTTAAGCTCAATGCCACTCACAAAAGGCTGGCAAGCACGGAGGGGGCTCAGGAAAGTCCCGTTTCCAGGATCACGAGCGAAAACCACGGGGATTTTCTGAACCCTGAAACGCCAGCCCTGCCTCAGCAGGGGAGAGGGGGAGCAGCCCTGGGGCCCACTGCCCTTCCTGAAGCAGAATCTGCCCCACAGCAATGCTGGAGAGCACTCAGGGGGACAGAGACCCCCACAGGGCTGGGACCAGCCTGGGGAAGCAGCATGGCATGGGGAAAACACCACAGCACACCCGACACACTGTTGGTTTAGCTGTCTAATAGAACATTGGGGTGGGAGCAGTCCCCCTATCACCTCGACTCCCCAACACCCACAGCACCAGCCACAATCCTCATATCTGTAACACCTTCTCTCTCTTTCTTTCCTTTTCCTTATTTATTTTTCAGCTAATGAACTGCTCTCCAGAGCTACTTTATTACTATTGATTCCAGGGGCAAAATCCAATTGATCTTGGTTAAAATGAACCACGTTTTTAATTCTGGTACCGACAGGCACTGGCTGGGCAGGAATCGCTCTGAGCTAAGGGCAGGGCAGGCGTGTTGAACTGGTGTCCAGCAGCCAAAGATCCTGGGAATTAAACCAGAAACTACCTGGTGCGGTTCAAGGACCAGTGCCATGTAAAGGAGGGACTGCTGCAGGGGAAGAGGGGTCCAACAGCCAATGCCCACCCACCTCCAGGGACTCACCGTGTTGAAGTTGGGGAACAGGTTGAGCGGTGATGTCCCGTTGAGCCTGAAGGTCAGAAAGTGCTTGATGTCCAAGGGGGGGTGAAGGGGCCGTCCAGGGATGGGCAATGATGCTAAGAGGGGGCTGCTGTGTCCGGAGGGACCTGTGCAGGCAAAGGGAAAGAGCAGCATTAGCACTGGTGGTCCCTGCTCGCAGCGGGGAGACCAGGCACCTGAGACACGGCACGCGGGGACATCTGCTGTGGATGGACCCTCCTCAGTGAAAGGTCACAGCCCAGGGTGGCCCTGGGCACCCCTTTGTCTTTCAGGCTCAAAACCAGCAGCCCAGTTTGAAGCTCAATGCAGCTGCCTCCACGTCAGAGCATGGACATGCTCAGGAGCTCGCTCTGAACCCTCCAAAAGGTGTCAAAACCTCCCCCAGGGAAGCAGCCCCTTCCTTGGGCTCCCCCACAACAGCACCATGGGGGTTCCTCACCGGGGCCAGTGAGGTTTTGGCTGCCAGCAGTGGATGAAGGACCAGGGGCAGAGGCTGAGCTGCTCCTACGCTACAGCCGCCGCTCCCTGTCACCCGCAAACGAACCACGCGCTCCGGCGTGCGACTTAAAAATAGCCTGGGGTTATTAATAATGTTCTGTCTAAAAAGAAAACACCCGTGGGATGGAGGGAAGGAGGGAGGGAGGGAGGGAGGGAAGGAAGGCCAAGCAGAGGGATCTGTCTCCAGCCTGCTCCCCATTCCAGATTCTCAGTCAGGCTCATCACAGATGATGAGCACAGCAAAGCATCCTCTGAGTGGCAGAGAGGGTCCCTGCCCAGCTCTGAGAGGGAGGAGGGGGGAAAGCTAAAATAAAGAATTAATCAAACACAATAAATCAGAAACGGTTTCAGAATGCTGAGCCAGAAGAGCCCATTCACATCCCACACGGCTTCATGCCTCCTCCAGCCCACTCACAGCCCTGTTCCTCCACCTGCAGCAAGGACAAGGCCAACATCTCTTGTTTTTTTTTGATTTTTGCATTCTTCTTCATCTCAAAGGCATTGTGGAGCCCCTGCCACAGCACAGCGTGACCCCATCCCACCACCCCAGCAGAGCAGAGAACACCCACCACCCCAGCAGAGCAGAGAACAGCCCTTGTGGGAGGGTGTTGGGGGGATCTGCTGCTCCCACAGCAGGAACACTGACTGGGAGCCGTCACCACCAGCACCTCTTTGTGAGAGCGCTGAGCCTGAGCCCTCCTCCAGCCCCTTCCACCCTACACTGGTTGTGCAGGACAAGGACCTCAGGCTGGTGCTGCTCCTTACTCTGCTCTGCACCCACCCTGCGCCAATCCCAGCTGGTGCAGGAGCCGAGACATGAACCTGGAAATCAAAGTTCGAGAGATCCCCTGGATCTGAGCAGCGAGCGCTCGCCGCCGGCCCCACGGGCACCAACGACCTCTTTCTGGGCGAGCGCACGCGGCGGCTCTGCCACGGCGCCGGAGCCATCCCCGAGCCAGGCCTGACTCCGGGGAGGAATTACAGTTTGCTTCATCAGGCGTGCACTGATCGAGTTAATTCCAGAGTCGCCCAGAAGGGAAATCTGCGAAACTGCTTAAAAATAAATAAATAACATTACAGCAGCAGCAGCAGCAATGAGGAGGGAGCAGCAGCGAGCAGGACTGGGTGAGCAGTGCATAATTAACCTTCTGAGGCGTGAAACAGTGTTTCTGCATCAAATCATCTGAGACAGCCCAGCCGGCGCCGTGGGAGCTGCCTGAGGACCCCCCAGCACAAGCAGCCCCATGAGAGAGCAGCAGTGAAGGCATTTGGGGCTGGATCACGAGGGATGCTGATCACCACTGTCAGTGTGGTTTGCACTGACTGCACTGGCCTTAAAAACATAAAATATATGTACATGTAAATATATATATCTGGGAAGAACAAGAGGGCAGGCAACTGTCTCCTCCCCCAACATCAGTAACCACATAAAGGGGTTCACTCCCTGGGGAGTAGCTCCTGCACTGGGCAGGCACAGGGGGGATGCTGAGGGGACACAGGGTCCCAGGGACAGCCACCATCCGCAGCAGCTGCTGCCCACAACAGTACAGACAAGATACACCAACCCCTTTGGCACATCCTTGAGCTCAGATTTGTGGATTAAACATATTTCTGGGCTGGGATAAACCAGGTGGTTGGAGAGAGCCCAGAAATCCCAGTGAAACCCCTTGGAGGGTCAGGACCTTTCCCCCCAGCTTTGCCCCTGAAGCAGACAAGACCCTCGGGAGCAGGAAAAGGGCTGAAGCCACCCCAGTGCCATCAAAGCTGCCCAGAATGCCACAGCACTCCACTGGGGCACCTTCCCAAGGTTACAGGGCCGTGGCACTGCCGGTCCTGCCTTACCTTTGCTGCAGGGCAGATTCCGGCAGCAGCTGAGGGCGGTATTTTTAGGTATTAATTAGACACTCAATTACAGGGATTTGCTTTGAGGAGAGTGGCAGGGCCCCAGGTCTGTATAGAATGACACGACCTTACCCAAGGTGACGAGCACGGCCAGTGGTGGGCTGGGCTGTGCTGGTGAATGGCATCCCCAGACGCTCAGTCTGCAGCTCCGGAGTGGGGTGTCCTCTGCCACAGCACCAGCTCTGTGTCTCCCTCTGTTTTGGCAGAGGAGCCCCCACAGCCACAACAAATGCTACTGCTTCAGCACCACAGATCCTGCCAGGATGGGATGTGCTCCAGGCCCTGTGGAGCATTCCATGGGGCTGATGCAAGGAGGGGAGTGTGGGAACCCCGTGTTCCCAGCACAAACACCTGCTGCAGCCTGTGGAGAGGGTCTCTGTGTCCCCCCCAGTTCCACAGGTAGCATCTAGGTCTGACCAAGAGATGCCAAAGCCCACAACATCACTGCTATGGTGCTGCACATCCTCTGCCCGGGGCTCAGCCAGAGCCATCAGATCCTGCACATCCTCTGTCTGGAGCTCAGCCCGGTTCCTGTCGTGCAGACAAGTGACTCTCAGAGGGGTCTCTTGGTATTTAAAGGTGTATTTTAGCCTTACACTTAACCAAGCCCCCAAGACCATGCATGGACACAGTCCCCAGCCTGTTCCCCAACCCTTCACTCCACGCAGCCACTGAACACACACCTGCAGCAGGTTTTCTCCTGGTCCCTGCAAGGCAGAGCAGAGCAACTGTTGTGCTCTCACACCCCATGCGTGTGAACCTCCCAGAGCTGCCTCTGAAGGCAGCAGGGCCAACGCTGCAGGTTCTCATACAAACACGAGTCTGCCAAGGACCCATCTCCGCAGACGCTGCTGCCTCAGAGAGCATCTGGTGCAGAGTCTGCCCAGGCCAGATGGAGACGGAGCTGTTTATTCACACAGAGGCAGCCTGGCTCCCTCCCGCTAGGGAGGTGTTCTCAGCACATTTCGGTGGTGTCTCCAAATCCTTACACAGGGCTTTAAAACTTTGCCTCTGACCAAGCATGGGCTGAACTCACTCCAGCTCTTTCCAGGAGGCTTCCTGGGAGACACGTGTGCTCCTCAATGCCAAAGGCTGAGGGATTGAGGAGAAACACCCAGTCACAACACTGGACCACAACAGCAGCACCAGTGCAGCCCAGGCACCTCTGGGATCCAGACCAGTAACAAACAGATTGCAACACACTGGACTCCCAGAGCAACCAGACCATGGGGGAGCAGGTGGGGCAGCTTTTGACAACCCCAGCAGAGAACTCGGCCCTCAGGATTCAACTGAGGTGATGCTTCGGGCTGCTGCATTGGGTTTACTGCTGATTAGAATCAGTCAGATCTGAAGGAAACAGCCTTCCAAGTCAAAACCAGCAGAGCCCTGTCATGCTGGAACACACCACGCAGCACCCCAGCCCCACTCAGCCACCGCGCCAGCACCCCCAGACCCGAGGGCAGAGGTGCCCAAGCCCCTGCCCACCACGGGCACCAACAGCTCTGCTCACCTCAGGATAAAGAGAGTAACACTTCAGAGGAGGAATACAAGCTGAACACCTCTGGATGGTCTCAAAAGCAGGTGTTGAAGGACTTTCTCTTGGGCAGCAGGTTGCCGAGAGCTCAGGGTGCAAAGGGAAAGCTGGGACATGTGGACGTTTTGGAAAGACCAGAAATACACTACTGATTATTTCTGGACGCCGATCAGAATTTATTCTGTCCTTGCAAAAAAAGTCCCTTTATATATCTTTAAACTTTAAGCACTAGGAAAATTAAGTTAGACCTTTTTAATACATATATTTATATATATATATTTATATATATACACACATACACATATGTACACAATGACGCATTTAAAGTTATACTTCCTTGGCCATTACAATATCATTCCCTAAATCTCTTGCTCTTGAAATGATCATGACTTGATGCCACTGCTAAAAATACTCTGTGCTGTGCACAAGGAACACCAACACGACACCGCCAGGCATGTCGGGGTCGACTCCAGGCTGGGAGGATGTTCTGCCTTTTCTGCATTCGCTCTCGAGGCTCCAGAACAACAGAAATCTATTATTTTTGCAGAGTATTAAGCAGAAGCTGCTGGGTATCTTTGTGCAAAGGCAACATGACATTTGAGCTCAAGAGAAGATTTGCCTTCCTATCCCTAAAACAAAATAATGACAAACCCTTGGAGAAAAATCACTGCAATTTGGGACCTTAGGTGGCCCCAGGCTTTTGAATTCTGGGCAATTCAGCCAGATGCTTGGTGGATGAGGGAGGGGTGGTCATAGGACCAGCATGGCTTTGTGAAGGATCCTGTTTCCTCTTCCCAGCACGGAGCAGGTCACCATCCACCGCGGCCACCCAGCCCCACAGTGACCAGCGACGTGGAAAGGCAGCATTGAGCTGGTGCTGGGCACTGCCTGCAGGCCCCGGCTCCTGCCCGAGGGCTCAACCCTCACTGGCCATGCTCACTTCACCTGTGTCATGATGAACCCAGACTCCCTCATGCTTTCGTAGTACTCGATGGCCAATGCAAAGTCAAACTCACTGATGGCCGGCCCGTCGATGGCGATCTTCATGAGGTCAGAGAGCCCCTCGTCCTTCGTCCGGCTGTGCCGGCTGCGCTTCAGCAGCTCCCGGCCCCGGCTGATCTTCTCGGCGAGGACCGAGCCCAAGGGCAAGGCCAGGGCGATGGCTGCCAGGAC